TTCACGTTCTCTTGTTGTTTCCTTCTCCCTTTACTCAGAGCAAATACAATTTAAATAATCCCTAAAATGTGTCATTGGCCGGCTAATGCAACGTTGGTACCCTGTATGACCTTACTTCGCTGTGAATTCGCTGGAAGACGAATTGATGGGTTAAACGGGCGCTGTAGATGAGTTCTAAACTGGGGGCGGATGGGTATACTAAATGGGGGATTGTTTGACCAAGTTTGAGTGGCTTTTTGGGTAGAGCTAGGGTACCGAGGGCAAGTGAATGATCCGATCGTGATCGTGAACGGTGTGTATTGTATTTGTTAGTATGGTACAACTATTCATAACCTCGTTGATGGCTCCGTAATCAATGTTTCACCGGCTGGCAACCTTCATTATTTATCGCAGTTTTGTTTTTGGAAACCCGTTCTTCAAGGATTGTTTTTTACTGCCTGCTATACTAGTCTGATCGAATTTAGAGGCGATGTCTTCCGATGATGTACCATTGTGCCGAAGTCCATTGCGAGGAAAGATCACGTGTATATTGGGTCCGATGTTCAGCGGAAAAACGTAAGAAAAATTTGGTCTCCTCCGTGAATTTCAAAAGCATTCATAGAAAGTACAGAAGAAAATCTTTATCAATCCATATCGGCAGAAAATAAAAAGAGATTGAGGTCCATTTTAGAACGGAGTTGTTACGGATGCATGATCGTCAAATAATTGCTAAACGGAAGTGTGTTTTGGTGAAGTACGCGGGCGACACAAGATATGATCCTGAGCTAGTCGCTACACATGCAAAGTGAGTTTTCGGGACTCAGTAATAGCACTTTCTAAAGTAGAAATATTCCGACAAGAGAGTTGACATCTGGGGCGGGAAAAAATGGCTATGTCATTATACTCGTACGATATTGGTTAAACCTTTCATGTGACTTCTTGTAACTGAAATACGCTCTAATTGTCTCTTCCCAAGGACGACTGGTCAAGGAATAACAGTAAAGGCTTATAAGCTGTCCGAAGTGGAGGAGCAGATTTTCGATCCGAGCGTGCAAGTGGTTTCGATCGATGAAGGGCAGTTCGTGAGTAGTTACAATCAGTTCCTC